TTTTTTAAAGTTTTTGATGTTGATTCACTCTAATCCGTCACCATCGATGCATGTGGCATAAACATGTAAGTCAGCTTGCGCTATGCTCTTTAGTCCCTTTCAAAAAGAAATGAATAAAGTTCGACCATATAAAACCGTAAGATAGGATAATAACAACTTTTTGCATGATGATTGTGTGCTCTGCAGTATTTTGGGCCCCACTGTCTCTAGCAAAGTGCAGGCTATATACCTTTTCCTTCGTATTTGTTCTCTATCAGAATTTTTATTCAGTCTGACTCCTCTATCAGTCTCGCACGACATTCGCAGTGGCGTGACAGCGATGCATCTGCAGGAAACGCAAGGAAAGCTCGTGACAGCCAGCCAAAACAGGGTGGTGATGATATGGGATATACGAAGCATGTTATGAATTCCGCCTAATTTCCCAATTTCTCGCGCTCTTACTTAAATTGTGTTAAGTCGGTTTTTCCCAAATCTCAGATATTTGATTTTTCTGTGTACAGCTCAAAGATTAAATTTAGCGCGTTCATGCATTGTCAACGAGTCTGTGACCACAATATTACGGTGAATTAGATTTCCTGAATCACTTTTGTGTATATTTTATCCTCTGAAGAGTATTTATTTTTCACTTCCTTATATGCTGATTTGCAATAAACTATCATACTCATTCACACAAATCACAACAGTAACAAAAACTAGAAGCAAATAACAATGATAACTGAAATCCTGAATTTATGGAGTTTTGGTGTAATGAAGGAAAGCAAACAAATCACGTGTTCACCCGTTCTAAACTCTAGCGAAGTTGGTATCAGAAAATGGTGTTAGTAACGACTATGACGAAATAGGTTGGTTGAAATGGATTCTGAGTGTCAAGCCGATTTTATGAAAAATTATAACAGCACTAAATGTTTTTCCACAATACCTGGTCAGAATTCCAAAAGTGCACATTTGACTTTTGCAATGTTAGATCACTTGACCTTGTATTTGAAGTACAGAAACTATAACGACTCCATATTGCCAAATATAACTGTGGTAATTGCGTGGTACAATACAAAGTTAAAATCTCGTATTTCACTAGAATCACGATTTCGCAGCAGGATTATGATAACCGAATTCTAAAAACCATATAGGCGAAGATTCAGGATGTTAGTTCACAAGTTACTTCTAACTCGTGCACCCGTAGTTTCGATTCTCAGACAACTTACTTCATCAGTCTTAGCAAATAAAAAAGAAGAAGCGGGTATTGTGGAATATGCAGAAGTGGAAAAATGATATTAGTTCGTTCTTCTGCATTAAACAAAGTCAGCAATAGCGTAACTGACAAGCAGTCAAAAATTTTGAAATTGAATGGTCGAATTTTTAGATATAATCATATACTGCCAAACACTGAATATAGTTTAAGTGCCTTTTACAGCTACTATGGGGTTTCAAACATTGAAGTAGAAGCAGCACACAAGATTGGATCAAACGACTCGTACAATGACCATGAAGAATTTCTAGATTTTCCATGGATCATCCGGTAATGCGAACTGTTTCTCCAGGGACTAGCCTCTCACACTCGGTTAATTACCTGTTTTGAAGCACCGTAATTGATCGTTTTGTGGACCTAAGTTGTTAACTCCTCAACATGAACATGAGTGATCCCTTGGAGTTAAATCCTTTTCCGAGAGACTTATGGATTGACTCCGCATCAGACCACCTTTCACACCCTCCCATCCATCTGTGGGGCGAAGGAGTCCTTCCTCCACACGTTTATTTATCTAAAATAAAAACCAAATTGTCGAAAACATGCAAATTCAAAAAGGTACCTCTTGTGCAATCATTAAGAAGGCATCAAATACGTTTTTCCCAGTAACTGCCGATGTTTCAATAAATTTCATCTTATGATATTTAGCGAAGTATTCTCCTTCTTCATAATCTACCTGAAGAAAAGAATCAAAATAGAACACAAGGAACTCAATAATTCAAAGTTACCCTTCTTTCAGTTTGGTTGTCTGATTTATGTCCAATCAGCTGAAAAACGCATTTTCCCGGATTTGGCCCTCCCATATTGGCTTCCGCCTCATGTAACCAGCCGGCAATATTTTCAAAACTAGTTCGATTGGATATATCGTAGACCAGCATAACTCCAACGGAATTACGATAGTATGATCTAGTTATTGACCTTAAAGCATAGAAATGAAAAAGTTCAAATAAGATAGAAATTGCATCCGCATCACCTAAACTTCTCTTGTCCAGCTGTGTCCCAAAGTTGCAACTTTACTCTGAAACCTGGCCTAAGCTCGATCATTCGTGCATAGAAATCGACTCCGACCGTAGGATCACTAATTTCTGCCATTTTTCCTTCCGTGAAGTATTTGAGAAGACTTGACTTGCCAACTGTTGAATCTCCGATTATAATAACTCTATATTGGTAGTGAAACAATGGCCCATAGTCATCACCAATGAAATTAAATTCCATTTCAGGAAGTCTGAAGCTCTTCAGCAAAGTGTAGGGCTAATAAAAGCTCAGTAGTGAAAGTAGGAACCTGGAGATTTCCCGTTTACTAAAGGAGAAAAATAACAAGCACAGTAAGATACAGAAAAACACGATGGGCATACAAATTAAACGACGTGAGTTTCGATATAAAGATAGAAGTAGTGGACAAAAATCCGCATAAGTAATTACAAGAAAATCAAGAAAAGTTCGAAAAATGGCAGAATAGATGTGCAGACGCGGTGTCATAGGAATTAATTTCTGCTGACATGATTTCCACCATTTTCAACGTTGAAAATTGTCAAGATCGATTGTTGCAGACAGCGCGCAATGCAGCACAGTCGCATGCGCAGCTATTCGAAATAAGCTTCAAAAATTTAAAAAAAAATTTGCAAACCGTAATTGTTTAAAATGATTAACGCGATACTCACAGCATACAAAACTCTTTTAAAATTCAAGCGTGATACCCAGTATAGATGGCCGCAGCAAGAAATTGCTGTCTGCATTTGATCATCCAAATATATGAGATAAACTATCTTCGCATATATAAGAAACGAACATTGACAAAAATCAGGACTTATCCAATATTTTAAAGTGAAACGCTATCCTGAAGCAGTGAATTATGGAAGACGTTAGTAACTTTGAGAATATTTGAAATTCCAACGAATTTCGTCCCCAAGAAATTTAATGATCATACCCAAATCATTAAAACCTGTAAACCAACCATGATAACAATAACAGATTTTTTTGATTCTAACACTAGCAAAATATCAGTTTATGCAAAATTCCAAAAAAACCACATGCGCTTTCCTGCGAAAGGGTTGAAAGCTCTTTTAGCGGTATCTCAAAAAAGAAAAGCATAAGCAGAGGGGCCATTTGGTCCGACTGCTCTGCTCGTTCATAGCAATACGAAATGAATAACCAACTCTCCACGTCTTCACAACAAAAATTGATCATGCTTACTTCACGTTTTGCAATCAACATGATTGATTGATAACTGCTCTTTGACTTGAGGACAAATGAACAACAAGCTAAGCATTTTATTTTAAGCCATGATATTTGATGTGAAAAAGACCTATTTATGCAAATCAGAAAAGGAATCACCCTACTAAACTGATACATCTTTAAAGTTACCTTAAAATTTGCAATGGTACGTTTTTGATGATACTCTTAGA